AAAAATTAAAAATAGGTACACAATAATTTATAGAAAATAGGTGCATTGTATAATTGAAATTTATGCACATTTTTTATAAATTAAAAATAGGTACCTTATTTAGAAGAAAAAAATAAGTTCATTATATTAGGTAAATTGTTTTACTAGATATACATTATTAGAGAAAAAAAAAAATAGGTACATTATTTAGAGAAAAAAAATAGATACAAAATTTAGAGAAAAAAATAGGTTCATTATACTAGGTACATTATTAGAGAAAAAAATAGGTACAATATTTAGAGAAAAAATAGGTTCATTTTAAAAAAATATTTTTCACAAAACAAATAATAAATAGATTATCAAATTATTTTTCAACATAATTAAAATTTACACTATTATTCATAAAAGTATAATAAAATAGATTACTAGTCGTATAATTCATAAAAGGAAAACAAAATTAATTCCTAAATTTAATATTTAATTTAAATTACTAATACATTAAATAGATTACTAGTGGTAATTCATAAAAAGAAAACATTAATTCAAAAATAGATTACTAGATTACTAATACGTTAATGTTGAATTTAATATTTAATTTCAAATAAGTTTCTAAATTAATTCCTACATCCATTACAACCATTTGAAGATCTTTCCAAATTTAATGTGTGTCATTAGTTACACCCCCCATAACATATTAAGTCATAAATAGGGATAGTTTTGGAATCCGAAAAATACAATAAAACATATTTTAAGTTATATTAGGTAACTTGCTTAGTTGGATCCTAGTCATCGGGTATTATTTGAAAAAATTGGGTATTTTAGATAGAAAACTAAAGGAAAGGATTTTAGGTAATTTAAAATGAATTTTATGAGTCTAAGCTCAATTTACTATATTTTTAATAATTAAAAAAAACCTAAAATTATCTAAAAGAAAAAAAGGTCCCATCACCATCGGACCCAACCCCACCTTTTTTATCTCTCTCTTTATTTTTTCTTCAATCAAGAAACCTCCCGCATTCTTTCTCTCTCGCATCGCAACCCATCTCCTCCACATCTCTCTTTTTTCGCAGTTCACCTTATCCCCTTTGCCTCTTTTTTTCATTCTATCGGGAAAGTTTCAGGCAGAGGCTTCAGTTGAAACTGTGATTGTGGGTGGGTTCAGCTCTCTCTCTCTCTCTCTCTCTCTCTCTCTCTCTCTCTCTCTCTCCCATCTACGGTTATTTTCTCAATCTCTCTGGTTCTCAATCGGGAAACTTTCAAGCAGAGACTTCTATGTTCAGCATCTTCAATCTCTTCATCCTCTGAGATAGAGTTTTTATTTTTAAAATTGCGAAAAAAGCCCTGCCGTGTCTTGATCTTGAGTTGACCTTGTCGCTGGCGTGTCTTGGCTGTGTCTGAGCAGTGTCCGGGGCGTGTCCGTCACGTGTCGGCGTGTCGCAGTGTCCGACACTCCAGGTGTTTGACGTGTCCGTGCAACATAAGAAGTGGTAAGTGATTGTAACTCAATTGCATTTATCTTTGTACCCACAATTATGTGTTCAATTCCCTAATCATGAGTAAAAACTAGACTGAAAGCTTTGATGGAGGTATAATATTAATACGTGTACTGTCATCAACCAACCAAAATATGGAGTTTGTACACATCCAGACTTTTCTTGGATCAAAAAAGAAATACTCTCTCTCCTGGATAAAGTCAAACAACATGTCCTGTTTTGATGCCATGTTACGGATAAGTTAAATATGAGAGGGACGGATATGTGGTTATTGTTAACACCCATATTACTTATAAAGCGTAATACGTGTGAGTATCATATTAGGTCTCGATATTATTAGTAATAGAATTATTTATTATATTTTATATTAATATTAATAATAGTAGAATTATTTATTATATTTTATATTTTATTTAGTCGTATTCTTCAACAAAGCAAACATGTAAGCTTCGTTGAAATTTTCTTTCACTTTTTTGGTGGACAAATTTGTCCTTTCACTTTCTTTTTTCTGGTCAGACTTTTTTGGTAGTACATTTTCACGTTGTTCCTTTTTTTTTTCCAGTTTGTTTTTTTGTTTTCACCTTGACCCTTACGGATATTGGACGTGTTCAGCTCTTTCTTGGGGACTTCCTCGTTTCTTCTTCAGTTTCTTGGCCTGACTTTTCCTTAGAAAATTTGGCTGAGGAAGATTATTCTAATAGCCATTTAACTAATCCGTGGTTCAGTAGTAGAAAATAGAAACCGTGTTGTTTCTGTCTCTGCCATTATTTCCTTTCCTTCATATATTCTGTCTTTTCCATCTATTCCTCCAACTTTCGGGTGAGTATTTCAGCGTGGTAATTTTTTTTTTCTTCTCTGCTGACAGTAAACTTCGCATATTGTTTTTGGTGGGTATTTGGTTGAATTGGTTCTTCTGGTTGGTTTCCTGCCAATTCTCTGGCTTCGTGATTGTTTTGTTGTTCCCCTGAGTTGGTGTGTTTGCTCTCTGCCCTTCTTCTCTTCTGCTTAATACGTTTTCAATTACCCAAAAGAAAAATTAAAGCTACCGTTTGCTTTTTACGCATTTACTGAGTGTTTACAGAACCAGATTTCCAGGAACTGTTTTTAATGGCGTTGTTGTGGGGAACCCAAACAGCCTCTGCATCTCCTACTTCAGCTGAATTGGATCCTCCTCGATGGAAGCATGATGTTTTTCTGAGTTTCAGGGGTCAAGACACTCGCAGGGGTTTTGTATCTCATTTAGACCACGAACTGCAGTACCGGCAAGAAATGAAAACTTTCAAGGATGACCGAGACCTTGAAGTAGGAGCAACTATTTCTCCGGAGCTGTTGACCGCAATCGAACAATCACATCTTGCCATCATTGTTCTCTCCCCAAATTACGCTTCTTCCACCTGGTCCTTGGATGAACTTTCAAAGATTCTTGAATGCATGGAAGACACCAAGAGAATTCTGCCAATCTTTTATCACGTGGATCCTTCCGATGTGCGAAATCAAAGGGGGAGTTTTGCGGAAGCCTTAACTAAGCATGAAGAAAGGTTTAGTGACGATGTAGAGAAGCTGAATCGGTGGAGAGCTGCTTTAAGAAAAGTTGCCAATCTCACTGGCTTAGATTCAAAAACTTATAAGTAAGCAAGCATGCATGAACAACTTGTGTGTGTCTTAACAAGAGCCCTACTTGGACGTTACTTTTCAATTCTTCCTATAATGCAACAAACAACCTTGGATGTTATAATTATGAATTAATGGTTATTTTATTTTTCTTAATTTGTAGGTCGGAAGCAAAGCTTATCGAAGACATTGTCAAACGTGTGTTGAAGAAAGTGCATCCTACATTCACGTTGTTAGATTCTGAAGAGAAGTTAGTCGGAATTGATTTTGCACTTGAGCAACTACGTTTGCAATTAGATCTCGAGGTAAATGATGTTCTCTTTATAGGGATATGGGGGATGGGTGGGTTAGGCAAAACAACCCTTGCTAAGCTAGTTTTCCAAAGAATTTCCCATCATTTTGAACATAGACGGTTTCTATCTAATGTGAGAGAGGTCTCTGCAAAACACGGTGGTCTAATTGATCTGCAAAGACAGATTCTTTTCCCAATCTTGAAAAAACATGCTAGCCAAGCTTGGGATGAAGGAGCCGGGACCTTTTTCACTAGGAACCGTTTATGCAATCAAAAGGTTCTTCTCATCCTTGATGACGTGGACCAATCAAACCAACTTATAACACTGGCTGGAAAGAAAGATTGGTTTGGTGTGGGGAGTAGAATTATCATCACAACTAGAAATGAACGTCTACTAGTGCAGCATGGTATAACAAGACGATATAAGGTCAAGGTATTAAACAACGGACAAGCTCTTGAGCTCTTTAGTCAGCACGCCTTTAAGAAACATCAGCCTGAGGAAGGTTTTCTAGAGCTGTCTCAGCGTTTCCTACATTATGCCAAAGGCCTTCCATTAGCCGTTAAAACTTTGGGGTCTTTCTTGTATGCGAGAGATCAAGATGCATGGAATAGTATGCTTCATAATCTAGATAAAATTCCTAATCCAACAGTATTTCATTCACTCAAAGTAAGTTATGATGGGCTAGAAGAGATGGAGAAGAAATTTTTTCTCCATGTTGCATGTTTCCATAAAGGGAAGGATAAAGAGCAAGTAATCGAAATACTAGACAGTATCTGGGACATTTCCAATCGTATTGGGATGTATATTCTTATTGAGAAATCTCTCTTAACTATTGAGAAAAACTATTTTCGTAGTGACACTATTGAGATGCATGATTTGATACAAGAAATGGCATGGGAAATTGTTCGTCAAGAGTGTGTCGAAGAGCCTGGTCGACGCAGTTGTTTGTGGCATCCTAACGACATTTCTCTTGTATTCATGAACAATACGGTAGGAAGTATGTTGCGATACTAAGTTTAGAAGATAATATATAGGTCAAAAGTCACTTTTGGTCCCTGTAATTTGGTACTTCAACCACTTTTGACCCTGTAGTTTCAATTCCGTCAATTTTGCCATTGTAGTTTTGTATTTGTAGCAATTCAAGGACATATTAGTATTCTTGTCAATTTCTATAACGATGCAAGGGGCTCTTTTGTCAACCCAAAACCCTTAAGCGTAAAAGCTTGTTTGAAATTCTCTCCATTTCATATTAGGGCTTGAAATTCAACCACTAATCCCAATTTTTGAAGAACCCTAAACCCAAATGACCAATTTCAAGCCTTAATATGAAATTAGGGGAGTTTCAGGCGAGCTTTTATGCTTAAGGATTTTGGGTTGACGAAATTGCCCCTTGCATCGTCAAAGAAATTGACAGGAATACTAACTTGTTCTTAAATTGCTACAAATATGAAACTACAAGGTCAAAATTGACGGAATTGAAACTACAGGGTCAAAAGTGATTTAAGTGTCAAACTTCAGGGACCAAAAGTGACTTTTAGCCTAATATACATATGTCATTTATTTTAAGACGATATTAGACTGAGTGTGCAATTAACTTTTTCATTTTTCTTAATTATAGGGAACATGCGCAATTGAAGCCATAGTCTTACATTTGCCCAAATTAGAAGTGGTGCACTGGAATTGTACTAAAGCCTTCTCTAAGATGCACAAATTGAGGCTTCTTGAATTTGATAATGTGATATTTTCTTCAGGCCCGAAAGATCTTCCAAATTCATTAAGAATAATTCGTTGGAGCTGGTATCCTTCAAAATCACTCCCACCAAGGTTTCACCCACGCTTCCTTGTTAAACTAGAGATGCCTCATAGCAAACTTATCCGGCTTTGGGATGGAGCAAAGGTAAGAGTATAGAAATATGGTATTTTATAATTCTTTTTTGAAGTAACTGGTTTTGCTTGTGAGGTTTTTTGATACTTATCATTCTACAACTTTTATATACTGTACAGGACTTCCCAAAGTTGAAATATATTGATCTTAGTTACTCTGATAAATTGAGCAGTACCCCAGATTTCACATGCGTTCCTATTCTTAAGGAATTGAAGCTGAAAAGTTGTACGAATTTAGTTGACGTCCACGCGTCTATTGCAGTTCTCAAAAGGTTGAAACATTTGGACCTTAGTGATTGTAAAAGTATCAAGAGTCTCCCAAGTAAAGTGGAAATGGATTCTCTTGAATATTTCAGTCTTTCTGGCTGCTCAAAAGTGAAAAAACTTCCGGAATTTGAGGGACATATGAAAAATTTGTTCAAACTCATTTTGAAAGGTACTGCTGTTGAGCAAATACCTTCATCAATTGAAGGTCTAGTTGGCCTAGCTGTACAGGGTAAGAACAATTGCGAAAGTCTCTTGGGTCAAATACTCTATATGCAGATATCCTCAAAACATGTCAAACTGCCAGGGGAGATGGAGTGTTTAGAGGAGCTTGAATTAAGTGGAACTGCTATGAGAGAGCTGCTTGCTGTTATGACAAATCGCAAATATGTATCCCTTCGTGGATCAGTTGCTAAATCATCAACTTCAACGTTGTGGGCCTTATTTGGATTTAGAAAGAGTCTTGACCCTAAACCTGACCCTTGGGGATTGGTGTTGCCTTCCCTATATCGTTTAAGGTCTTTGACAGAAATAAATCTCATTGGGTCTAATAATTTTGAAGAACTCTTCCCCGATAATATTAGCTGCTTGTCTTCCCTAAATCATATAACTTCTTACCAATGTCGTCTAATGTCTTTGACAGAATTAAATCTAAGTGATTGTAATATTTTTGAAGGAGTCATCCCCGATGATATTGGCAACTTTTCTTCTTTAGAACGTTTAATACTTAGCGGAAACAATTTCGTTAGCCTTCCCGCAAGCATTAGATTCCTTTATAAGCTTTGCTCTCTTGACTTGGGGAGGTGTGAAAGGCTTGCGCAATTGCCAGATCTTCCATCAAAAAGATCAAAGAGATCCTTATTACTTGTAAATGTAAGCGATTGTACTTCTTTAAAAAGGTTGTCAGATCCATCAAAGTTGAGCGAAGAAGCCAATGTGTATGATTTTATGTTCAGTTGTCTGAATTGCTTCAGATTGGTTGAAGATGAAGGCTGGATTAATAGAATATTTTCAAGGATAATGAAACTGGCCGTTGAGGTACTTTCTCTCTCTTTCGTTGCATGAAAATCATGGTTGTTTTTTCTATAATAAATTATAAATTTAATGGTAATTCTTTTGGTTTAGGGAATCTATCCAGTGTTTGATCATTGTACCTTTATTGTATGCCCTGGAAGTGAAATCCCAGATTGGTTCAACAATCGAAGTGTGGGAGATTCAATAACTGTGGAGCTGCCTCTACCTCCACAACCATGTAGCAACTGGATTGGAATTGCTTCATGTGTTGTTTTTGCAGATTCTGAATATTTGGAAAATCCAGCCTCGGTTGTTGGATATGATCATTTCAGAATTGAATGTTTGCGGGGTCCGTCTGAGTCTTTTGAAGTCGGGCATCTTGGGTCACAACACCTTTGGGTTTTTTATTTGCCTCGCGATCATCCCAGCCTCATGGATGCCTCAAGCAGTCATCAGTTTTCATTCGAAGCATTTTATGATTCAAACAGAGCATCTTTGAACAGACTCAAAACAAGCTCCATTATAAAGAAATGTGGGGCCCGTTTGGTGTACAAGAGAGATTTGGAAGAATTCAGCCAAAGACTGAAAATTGGAAGTTTGGAGGAATTCAGCCAAAGACTGAAAATTGGAAGTGGTAGCTCTGATGACGACGATTTCAATGAGGTAGGGGGAGAGCTATTCTCTTATTACATTTTGGTTATATAATTTTCCATTTCCAAATACATATATGCAGGATATGCTATAATATTGGTAGGTTTTGAATCTTATTACCCTTCAAAGAAAAATTAGTGTATAGTGACAAAAAACTTTAGTAATTAGCATATGATACATTACCTATTTTTGTTTTGGATATGGTAGATAAGTTTTAAATTTTATTTTGTTAAAAGTCAATGGCCCTACCCACGTGCTCTTTAAGTTTGTTTAATTTGTATTTGAAATAACATTTTTACCCTTCGTATTTTATATGGGCACGCCCCAGCTTTGGATTCAATCCCAAAGGGAGCTTTGGATTCAATCCCCGCAACCACCACCAACGAGGAGTATGTTTAAGAAGGTCACTGCAAAGTTCCAGAGAAATGCATTTTCCTACAGAGAAGCAATAGGAGGATCGACGACTAAGAAGGCGTCTTTTGTGCAGAGAAGCAATCCATATGGAGAAGGCGTTTTCTGGCGGAGAAGCAATTGACGACGACCATGTTTTCTGGCGGAGAAGGCATTTTCGTACCTTCAGCTTTGCCACAAGAACCAGAACCAAACTATTGTGTCATGGTTGGTTTGCCTATAATCTTCTAAGATGGATTAATCATACATATGTTTCTGTCAAATAAGTTAGACGTTTGGTCTTTGTGGGAGCAAATTTCCTCCCACGGGAATATTCGCCTAAAGATTCCTTCGTCTTCTCCACACCTCTCTCTCCCTGCAAAACAGATCGGAGTAAAAGGACCACACCCGGGGGTGTTGGCCAAAGGTCCTCCGATGCTTAAGTTAGGTTGGGTATTTCAAGGAAAACCGGGTGGCCGGAGCCGTGTATGGTGGCCGGAGCCTTGTGTGAGGGAGAGAAAGAAGATGGTGGCTAGGGTTTGTGAAGGATAATTTCTGCAGAGTTTCAGTAGGAATTTAGACGTACCTTAACCCTTGTGTGTAGCTAGGTATTTATAGGAGCCTCGGAGGCTAAGGTTTCAGAGGAATAATTCCGTAGATGGAAAGGAATTATTCCTCCCCGATTAGGTGAGATTTGATTAATTAGGGATTTGATTTATCTGATTATAATCAAATCCCTAATTAGGGTAGGAATCAAATCAATCCCCATTTTAATTAGGTAATTGCCAATTTAATTGGGTAACTGCCAATTAAATTGAGTAACTCCCAATTAGGTCAAATAATCCCCAAATTGAAGGAATTATTTGACCTAAGGTGATTTAATTCGGTTCCCACAGTCTTATACGGGTATCACTAGAACACGATGAGAGACTGAAGTCTATAGATGCAGGGCCAATGCACGGTGGTTGAAGGCTAGCTTTTTGAGAGGAAGAACATTCCCTCAAGACATTGAAATACATTAAAAGGAGCTTTGTGAGCCTCACTCTAAGCAAATGCTCAACGTTCTTCTTCTTGTAAATAGTAACGGCTCCTTCTTTTTCACGTTCCAAAAAGCCTTTCTCAATCTCTGTGTTTTGCTCAGAGCTCGAGAGTGAAAGCACTTAAGCCTCGTATTTGTATTTGTATTTGTATAAGCCTTGTACAGCTTGATCAGCTAGAGCTGCTTGCAAGAGGCTTTTCAGAATATAAGTGCTTCTGTCAGCATCACAGGAGTTTTGTCAACGCAACTGTTTATGAAATCTAGTTTATTCAAAGGCCTCGGCTTCAGAACCTTTGCATGTCTGGTTGGTTATGTAACTTCTGTTCCCCCACCCATCAAAGCTACTGTTGGCTTAGCTTAGTGTCAGCTTAACCACACGCCACATAGACGGCTCCATTCCAAATTTCCAAGGGCTGCTGGCTTGGGTTAAATATTCATTAAAATAATCAAACATATTGCAGCTACACATCTCTCCGTCAGATAAGTTAGACGTTTGTTCTTACACGGGTATCACTAGAACACGGTGAGACTCTGCATTGCTGTGCGATGAAGGCACTCTATTGGAAACTGCATTGTAGTTTTGAAGTCCCCTTTCCCATTCTGTCAATGATATCAGAAGCTCTACTTGTTTCAAACATTTAACAATAGAATTTTGTGATTCTACATGAACTAGAAATTTATATACCGTGCATCAGACATTCTGAGTGGATAAAACACAGAAGCAAAGAAGAACAATGTAGGACTAAATTAGCAAGCCAGCCATTTATTCTTTTTAGTAAGATCAATTTGTTCAGGTAAAAGTAAATGATATGTGGCTGACATAACTTAGTGAAGAAATGGAGAGTAGATGGTATGCACCACTTGCAATAACCAAGTATCTTGACAACCTGAGATGTAAATTAAAATTAAAATACTGATTTTTACTTCTTTTCTTAGAACTGGGTTATCTTTTCATCTCATGAATCCAATTCCATTTTGTAGCGATTGGCGCTGAAGCATATTTAGAAAAATATGTTGGATGTGTGAACACAACACAACATAGAAAATAGAAAACTTTGTAACCATAGATTTTCTATGTGCATGAATAAAATACTGAAAGAAGAGAATCCCATATTTCTTGATATAGAAGCTAAGTCGTTCAGTTCCCTCAGACATCAGCTAAAGTTCAACATTCTTCCGATCCGAACAAGAGTTATTTTGAAACCTCAGTTCAACTACAACCACAAAATTGTAAAATCTCAAATGCTAGATCATATAATCTGCCACCTGCTGGCGGTTGGCCGGATGTGGACATGTGGCATAGTATACTTGCTTCAGAAGAAGTGGCATTGTGTGTAATTTTGATATTTTTTTTAATGATATTATTGTAAAATTAGGTACTACATTCTGGTTTTTGGCCTTATGCTAATTATATGAAATTGTATTCCTATCTTCCAAATTAGTAAACTATATTGTGGTTTAAAACTAAAGCTCCTGTACGAGCAAGATTTGGAAGAAGAACTCAACCAAACACTAAAAATGCTGATGCGAAAAGTACAAGAACGTTGTTGTTGTGACGATGCAAGTACAAGTGGAAGTGGTAGCTTTGACGACAGTATTGAACCATGCCCCAAAAGACTCAAGCAAGACTAAATTGTACTTTCTTTTGCTTGATTGAAACATTTATGTACTTCAAAGCCTAATGACGTTGCTCTGCTCAGAATTTATGTTGGTAAGCCTTATCAGATATGGATGCATAACTTGATACAATAAATTACATGCACAATTATATTGTTCGTCAAGAGTCTAAAGAGCCTGGTCGAGGCAGTAGATTGTGGCTTCGTGGCAACATAGCTAATGTGCTCATTAGTCATGAACAATTTGGTAAGAATTTATAGACATAAGACCAAATTGGGAACATAATAAGATTGCTTTTAGCAAGATATTAGACAAAATCAGCTTATTTTCATTGCTTACTTCTTATGTTGTATCTTTTGTAATGGTTTTCTTTCTTTTCTTAATCTCATTTCAGTTCTCTGGAAAACGGTAGGCATTATCGGCTTGGGAAGAACTGGCAAAGATAAAACTTGGCCTCAGACTCTGGCATTTTGATTGTTGTATGAATCTCTGATCACTTCTGAAGAGACCAACGACATTGTCACGATTTGAAGCCCTTGATGCTTTGGGTCAGGGTGTTCTCATTAGCACTGGAAGAGGCTCTCATGGTGATGAACCTCAGTGTCTGCACTGCCGGATAATTATAAGAATGAGCCAACCACAGGTTCCTGATCAACAATGTGGTTTGATAAATATTATAATAATGTGGCAGAATTGATTTGTTTCAGTCAGTTTTTAAGTAATGGGAGCTCGTTATAGTCCGGAAATAGCAATATCTTCTCCACAAAACAATACAAATTCCGTAAATCATTGTGCATTATGTTATTACTGAATTTGAGAACATGTCAATCCTATTCAGGTGTTGTACGATTGGTGGTGTTTTAGAAATCAGAGAAGGAAGCTGTCATGTAAAACACAGAGTATTTCATTTCTATTTGACATCAAAACATTCTAATGATTCGTCAACCTAAGTACTATCTTAAGACAAATTATGACTACAAAATCTACAAACTACTGCAACTGAAAGATTCTCAGGTCCCCAGTCCACAAGGTCCTAGCTTGTCTGTTACAAACTGCACTGAAATTCTCTCTCAAATTTGAGGTTACTTGATCTATTATGAGCTACTAATCCTTGCCAAAGTGGCTCTTGGGGGTCAAATACTGTACATCATCGAGTTCAAGACTGGGCCGAAGACTACAGAAATTTGAGATTTCTTCAGAATCATCAGGAAAAACAGGCCGAAGGTTCACTCTTGGTTTGCTTGCTGGCAACACAGGAAGTGGTGCTTCGCCTTTAAGAATCCTCCCTGCTTCCTTCATTGTTGGCCTCTTCACATGGTTTGGGTGCACACAAGCAAGTCCAGTCATCAGAGTTCTTTCCATCTCTACCATATCGAACTTTCCCATCAACCTCCGATCAGCAGCTTCAATCAGTTTCCCATTTTCCCACATGCCCCAAACCCAATCAACAACCACTGTTCCATCATCCTCCACCGGCTTTCTCCCTGTTGCCACCTCTAACACCACCACACCAAAGCTATAAACATCAGTTTTAACAGTTGGAACACCTGAATAAACATATTCAGGAGCAAGATATCCCATTGTCCCAGCTGGTATAGTTGCGTCTCTTGCAAGGGAACTATGTTCGTACACTTCTGCTAGACCAAAATCCCCAAGTTTGGCATTAAAATCTGCATCAAGCATTATGTTGCAGGTCTTAACATCTCTATGTATTATTTGCCTCTCACACTCCTCGTGAAGGTATGCAAGAGCAGAAGCAACTCCAAGAACTATATTAAGTCTCTGCTTCCAGGATAGAACAACTGAGGAATTGAAGCTTTTGTGGAGAATTTTGTTAAGGCTTCCATTCGGCATGAGCTCATATACCAGGACTAACTCATTACCCTCACAGCACCATCCATGAAGCTGAACAAGATTCTTGTGTCGCAAACAACCCACCATAGTTGCAAACTCAGTAGTAAAAGGACTCCGCAGACAACCAATCTTATCAGCCCTCTCAAACCTCTTGACTGCCACTTCTCCACCAGATGGCAGAGACCCCTTATAAACCTTAGCTGATGCCCCTTCCCCAACAACTCTGTTTCGGTTAAATCCCATTGTAGCTGATCTTATCTCTGCAAGAGACAAACTTGTTGGAACTCTTTTTGCCTCAACTCTACAAGTTTGGCCTTCTCTGCTCCTTCTGGCAATGACCTTTCTCTTCTTCACACACATAAAACAAATAACAAAAAGAAACGCAAATATAGAGAAGAGAAATGCAGCTAAACCTCCCAACCCAAGAGCCATCTCCACCATCTTTGTTTTTCTTTCATGAGAATGATCAACAGGGCTGCTGTTGATACTTGAATCTTCTGGTGAAGAGCACATGAAACAGTCCCCTTCTTCAACAGCATCCATAGGAATCCCAGGTGGAAGAGACCCAAAAGTCTTGAATTTCCATCTGTCAACAATGTGAATTGAAGAGCCCTGCCCATTAGAAGCAGAAAACCCAACACGCATGAACTCCTTGAATTGCTTGGAGAGATCAATCTGAGCAACAAGGAGAGGAGTTGGAGGCCTAGTTGACGAATACCCGACCCAAACCCGGATCATCTTGATTGCATCTCTGTACTCAATCCAAGCAGTGATCTCTCTCCCACTTGTCAAGTCAATTCCTCTTGAAACAACATCAACAGAAGCTACAGAAACAACTGTGTTTACATCAATGCCAATATGGTTCCCATTGATGTCACCAACCATAGGGTCAAATCTGGTATCAAATTCCACAGCAAAGAATGATTCTTTTGAAGTTGACGTTGGCTCTGGAAGGCCCATGTACCCTCTAGAGGAACTGAGAGAATCCACATCAGGGGTGATTACAAAGGCAATGCCATCTCCACAAGAACACAATTGGGAACTTGGTGTGATTGAGAACGAGAAGCGGCACAAGAAAGAAGCAGTGGCATTGGTTTTAGAATCAAGAAACCGAATTGGGTAGGCATAAAAGGCTCTTCCAATCCCAGAAGTAGTAGATGAAGAAGAAGAAGAGGGGCAGGTGGTGAGTTCTTGGGTGAGGCTAATGGCATTGTTGTTGATGTAAGCGTCACCTGAGAGCGTGACATTGTTTGTTGCAGGCGAGAATGGGACAGAAATTGAAGGGCATGTGAGGTTAACGAAGAGAAAGAAAAGGACCCAGATGAGAAATGGATGAGATGAATGCATTACTGTAAACCAAACGGGAACATAGCAGCTTTCTCGTGAAAAAATGCAGAAACTTTCCCAGGAAAAATGCAGAAACTTTCTCGGAAAAGAAAAGGGAAATAGTGATGAAGTACCAAGATTTTCCTCCCTTCTTTATATCTGAATTTCTGTGGATGCCCCAATCTTGATACTTCAAGTTTAACGAGTTGCAGACAGGAGAGAGAGGGAGAGGGAAAAGAACCCCATTTGATTGATCAAGAAATACCCAAATTGAGTCCAAGGCCAGACTCTGCGTTAAAAAGTGTTGGTCTAGGGGCACTATGGGTGTGTGAAGAAATTTGTTGGGTGGCATTAGCCTGTCCTGGGTTTAACACTTGAAGATTAACCAAATTAGCAGCACTAATGATCTGCACATTAAAGTCGGTAAAGTAAATTGGTGGATATTATTGACAATTGAAAAAGAAAAAAGAAAACACAGCCCTAAATCACTTGCTTTATCAATCAAATAATATATAATGTCAATGTCCGTTCAAGGGGAATATGACAATTAGACCACCAATTCACTAACTTTCATTTTTCCACAACTATCCAAATTTATTTCACCTAATTATAACTTTATATTACTTTTCAACACATTTTGCAATTCGTACTCACTAAATCGTATCTCCCTACCGTAGTGTTTTTCAAAATCAAAATTAAAATGGAAGTCAAAAGGAAGATAAAGATGAACATTCCATAAGCATAACATGACCTCCTTGGGAGATTTTCCATGAAATGTTAGTGCATGTGACTTTAGATAAGACGTGTGGTATGCCTTATTTTGACACATTTTCACCCAATACTTGATTCTAGATTTTCCCTCTCCCACAAAATAACATTTCTAATTTTCAATTTTGATTTGACAAAACCCCAGATTTTCTGACAAATTTGGATTTTTTTTTTTTTTTTTTTTTTGGTTCAAAGGAATGAACATGTCATTATCATAGAGTTTTACATAAAGGCTCAATACAAAAGTGAGAAATATAAAACAAGGGCCCAACTAAACAAAATAAAAGCCCAATCCAATATTACAAAAAAGCCCAAAACAACCAAAAAACCTCAAAATACAAAAACCTCAATATACAAATTTGGATTTCTTGAGTGATTGTGTAGCACTGGAAGATGACCTCTTATGACCAAAAAGAAAGATGACCTCTTCAAAATCCTAATGTCCTCGGCCTCTCCTTGTGTCTCACATTCTTTCATGGCATGTTTATTAATTCGTAATTGGATTATGAGGAATTGAATTAAGGAGTTGGATTGAGGAGAATTAGATTCTGGATTCCTATTAAAGCTGTTTACTAAATCATATGAAATTGAGGTAGGAGTGGTATTAGTTACTAAAATGTCCTCGTTGTTGAGTTAAAGTAGATGACAAATTTTAAAATTTTAAAATTGTGTGAGGTATAACAGGTAAAAAAGATGAATTCCTAATAGGTTAGTTCTTCAGGAATTAGAATATCACCTCCCACCCAATAATTGAATTCCTCCAAAATTAAGAATTCAATTCCCAATTTTGTGTGGGCTCCACGTACTTTTTAATTCCTTGATGTGAAGTAAATGCAGGAATCCTTAATAGATAGAATTTAATTCATGATGAGAATTTCAATTCCTGATTAGTAAACACACCAGGTTGGAGTTTATTTCACAAAAAATTTTAGGGTTTCAACTTCCAGGTTGGAGTTTTGAGCTACTTGCAAACAATGGTATGTTTCTTTGCCCACTAGCCATTTGAATTTTGGCTGCATTTTCCAATTAAATTTCATAGTTTGCTTTTGAAAAGTTTTGATTTACTTGAATGGTCCTTTGTTATGTAGTAGAAGCCGTCTTGATGATTTTTTTTTAAGCCTGTTGAGTGTTTGAGGGAGTGTGAATGTGTGATTATGGACTTTTTGGTCAGAAAGATTGCTTTTTGAAGTAAAGTTTTTGAGAGTGAAGTGGTGGGTGTTCTGGGGGCCCTTTTAGCTGTTGCATTTTGTTGCATTAGTCTCCTCCTCCTTATGGTAGCGCTCTTTGTAGCTGTGATGGCGTATCCATCACCATCTTCCTCTCGGTTCTTTGGCTTCTGTGACTTCTCTGGTGGCTTTGGTCTTGCGTTGGGTGCCTTGCCAATGGGTTATTGGTGGTGCGGCATTTCTCAGTCTCTTGTATTAAGGATTTTCTTTTGTTTCTTGGTTTTTGTTGTTTTTTTAATTTGACTGGGCAGGAAGCTTGGTTCTAGCCTTGTACTGAGGTCTAGCTGCTTCTACCTGGTTCGTGTATTTCTGGCTCAGTTTGCAATCTATCCCGTTTTGGTTTCTTTGAAACCAAACATTGACCAAAAAAATTTAGTTTTGTGGCCATAAGAATTTTGTTTTTATTGTGAAAGCGATAGATTTGGCTGTGTAACTTGAGACTGGTTCCTAATAAGTCAATGTCACATGTGCTGTGCGTTTGCTCTGTACCTAGTTTAATAGGATCTTCTCTTCTGTTTACTGATTCATCTCATCTTCTTCCTTTCTCATGTTCTTACATTACTGTAAACCTTTTTTTTATTTAAAGAACTTTATAGAAAGGCAATAGCATACTAAACTCACATCAACTACACGGATGCTAGGACTCGAACCCAGAACCTTTCCTGAGGGAACAATTGCTCCAAATCACTACACTAGTGAGTCTTTTACTGTGAACTTTTAAGTCTCTTCTTTTTGGTTGCTTCTATGCGTCGAATTATTGAGTTGAGTATATATTGGGTTGGTGGTGTGGGATTGTTTGTTTTGTTATTTTGTGCTACTAATCTACAATTAGGAGAGAAACATGCTAATGTTAACTATGGGTTGTTCCATATGACTGTTTGTCAAACGTGTGGTGATAGTGACAGAGGTTTTGATGCTGCCTTGATCTACTGTGACAAGTGCCAGAATTATGCTATTCATCTGTATTGTTTCCATTTTTCTTTTGTTTGTGTGTTCTTTTTTTCTTTTTAATTCAATGAAAAAGAAGTGACATTACTGTGATTTATATACCACATTATCCTGAAATAATTGCTCCATTTCCTGGTTATTGAAGTCTGAATTTTGTCCTTAAAAGAGTTAGTTGTTGGAATGCAAAGATGCAAGCATGAAGGGGTTTTATCTTAAGTGATCTCTGAACTTTTCGTAAGTTTTTATTTGAGTCTTTAAACTTTTAAATCAATCAATGGGGTCTTTAATTTTTTGCTCCACTCATCAATTTGGTCCATGTCGTCACATTCCGTCAAAATATTCATTAAAATTGTCACATATTCATTAAAATTGGTCACCTAAAAGCACGTGACCAGCTTTAATGTGTTATTTTCGTCAAATATAACATGTTCACCAATGAAAAAAAATAAGTAAATGTTACTTATTTTGCTCAACAAGGCTATTTGCTCTCCAAAATGGAACCCAAACGTAATTTCCTAAATGGAGAGAAGATGGTCTTGTAGATAAAAAAGGTGAGTTTTATAACTAAGATAACTTATATTTTGATGAAAATACCTTTTAAGTTGGTAAGTTTTGTCGGAATTTGACTAGAGGGACCAAATTGATGTGTAGACCAAAAGATGAAGGATCATATGAATTGAGGACTTTAAAAAAGTTCAGGGATCACGTATGATAAAAACCACGACTGTAATGATGGTGAAAGTTGAAGATGGATTAGTTCTTGAAATCATACTTTAAAATATAGGAGCACACAAAATGAACTTTTTCAAATTCTATGAAATCTTAGCTGCATGAATTCTCAATTTTTCCCTTTTTAAATGATTTTGCATGGATTGGTGATTAACTGATGGCTCTTTTTTTTTCTTTTTTTTTTTATAAAAATTTCTATCCAGCTATTGCCTTGATCTGCCAGCAGAAAATAATTTTGATGAAGATATGGCTTTGTGTGGATTGTGAACCAAACAATGTAAAGCCTTCTACAAATGATAAATCGGTGAGATCAACAAAAAATCATCCTAACAAGATGTTGAAGAAGTCGAGGTTTAAAAGGAAGAGTAATATATATGTTGCTGAAAAGGAGCAGATATGTGAAGGTGCTAAGAAGAAGATGAAGATATGTGAAAGTGAAAGGGCTAAAACGAAGGTGCATAGATATCACATGTGAAGAAGGGGATAAAATGAAGGAGCAGATATGTGAAGGTAGCTCTTCTGAACATGAGGTTGAGAGTAGTAACAATTGTGACCATGGTCAGAATGTTGGGAATCCGTGCACAGAGGTTCTCAAAGATCAGTTCAATTCTTTCCACGACGTTGCCAAATCTGTAAAAACGCCCTCAAACTACTACTAGTGATGCTTTAGAAATCACTTGGGCAGGGTATAAATCGTGAGCTATGCTTATAATCATGTATCCCAAGGCATCCAAATTGGGTATCCTAAGGCATTCACTAAGGTATCATAATGCGAACGGCTGTCAGTCCACGTTCAGCTGCATATCATTTATGCTTATAATTATGTCTGGTATATTATGCTTTTGGAATAATTGTATCTATGTAAACAGTGTATATTGCAGGTGTAAAATAGAACTTGGTTTTGAGCTTTGTATCCTAGAATCTGAGGTCTATGATGACCGAAAAATCAATGACGTGTTGACTGGCCCATTAAAGGAAAGATTTTGGAGACCTGCTTTAGTCATTTGTCTGCACTTAAATGAGATACAATTGTTAAGCTCATAATTTCATATATATATATACATGTCCAATTTACTTAGTTCTTTTGCTTAGTTTTTTAGCATTATGAGTCATTTACCTCTGTTTGTGTGTTTTGTAGGTCAATAGAACAAGAAAAAAAAAATACAAGTAATTGAAGTATTAAAGTATTTGGCTGTAGATATGGGCTGCTTTCTAGAAAAAGTGGTGGGTTATTATTTAATTTTTCTGGATTGAGCTTACACAATTAAGCCTAATTTGTCTCTCTCCAAAATCAACACTGGGCTAGAGCCCACTCTAGCCTAAGCATGGATCCGCCCTTGTGTGTTAGGTGAAGTATGTGTGGTTGGTGAACTCAATTGTAAAATCTAATTCGCCTAACCTATGTGCTTATAAATAGAGAGTCTTCAAGGAGCTGAGAATATTATGATTCATATTCTATCACATTGTACACAAAGAAAGGGAGAGTTGAGAGTTAAAAAGGGAGAGAAGAGAGAAGGCATCAGTTGGAAGGCTTTAGCCAAATAAATGGGCTCAATTAATTGATCTATGAGATATTTTTCTTTTTCACGTGGCACATTGTAATTGAAAGCAAGATTATTTGCTCCCACAAGGTTGTTGGAGAAAGTTGCTGATGTTGCTCACCTATTTTAGAATTCCAAAAATATTAAAGAGATTGTTAGAAATGTCCTAAACCGGAACCAACAAACGAAAAGATTTTGAAAACCAAAAACCCAAAAAATCCGAAGTCGGAACTTCTGACTACATACTCAACAACTCTGCAATCTTGCGCTGCTTTGTCATGTCATGTAGGTAAAGACAAGGCATGACATGTCATGTCTTATTTTTGACACGGGTCACTGCAGTAGGAGTACTTTTATCGTCCACGTCGAAACGACTTCACGTTTGCACTCGACTCAAGGTGTGTGAACGACGTACCGTATAATGGTTTGTTTCCCCAAAGCGCCACACTTCCTTCCTTCCTCCACCACCACCACTGTTTTCAGTTGCTTCACCTTTACATTTCTTGGTTTTTAGATTTTCCCTCTTATTTGTTTTCCCACAAAATATTTGTATTTTCAATTCTCTTTCGATTTCATCTTCTCACTGACAAAACCTCAGATCTCTGACAAATTTGCAGTGCTTCACTGATTGGGCAGCACTGAAAGACGACCTCTTCGAAACCCTAATGCCCTTGGCTCCTCCGTGCCGTGCCGTGCCTCTCACATTCTCGCTCCCAATTGACCCCCAGAGTTTTCGTATTGCAGTTTATTTCACAGAAAATTTAAGGGTTGCAACTTTCATGTTGGAAACTTGAGAACATGCAAACTATAGTATGTTTCTTTGCACACTACCCATTTGAATTTTGGCTACATTTTCCAATTTCAATTTCATATTTGGCTTCTGAAAAGTTTCGATTTACTCAATATGTTTGAATGGTTCTTTGCTAAGTGAGTAGACACTGTCTTGCTGATTTTTTTGAAAGCCTGTGAAGTGTTTGAGAGTGATTGTGGAATTTTAGGTCAGAGAGATTGCTTTTATAAGTAAAGTTTTTACTGATTATTTAGCTGTTGCATTTTGTTGGTTGGTCTCCTCCTTTTAGTTTTGTGGTTATAAGAATTTCTTTTGTATTTATTGTGAAGGCGGTAGATTTGACTCTGTAATTTGAGACTGGCTCCTTCCTAAGTCAATGTCATATGTGCGGCGTGTTTGCTCTGTACCTTACTTTAGCCTTCAATTAAATAGGTAAAGGAATTACTGGGAGTATAAAATTTCTCCAGGAAAGTGATAGTACTTGAGTGGCAGAGCCAGAATATGTTATGATGCTTTAGGATTGTCTCTGCTCAGGCATTTCAGTTATACAACGCTATACTAAGCAGCTTTAGATTCTATACCACAGTTATAAATTGCATTTCTATTTTCTGTTTCCATTTTTATTCATGAGTCTCCAATGCTAGAGGGCTAATGCATTGGAATCTATTTTTTTATATAGATCTAATTAATATATTATTGTTATTTTTGCTGTCAAACCCATCAAATTTCAAAATCTGCTGACCCAAGTTGTTTCTTTTTTTATCTGAGCAAGCCTAGTTTGTTTTACTTAATTATAAACTGCACCTCAACTTGCCTTGTCTTCTTTGGGGTAATTATATATCTGGATTCGCAGTAAGCAGCCCTGTTAATTAAGATTAGAGATTATAAATAGAGGCAGCTTTTCCTTTTTGTCTCTCATTGGTTTCATCCTTCCTAACATGATTAAAGATGTCATATCATTGGATCTTCTCTTTTGTTTATTGATTCATCCAATCTTTTTCCTTTTTCATGTTCTTACATTACTAAAACTTGTATAGCTTCAATATGTACAAGAAATTCTTGACTTTTAGGCTCATGTATCATTTAATGTCTCCATAAGCATTAGATTTTAATAAAAACCTGATGTGCGTGAAGAATGAAGATGTCAGAGCATAATTGTTAATGTGACCTCTACTTAAGTAGTCCTAAATTATCAAATTTGGCTACTCTTGGTAGTTGTATTTTACCCAGTTAGACTGCGTAACATACAATATATTTATTGGTGTTTGAGGTTCACTTAATTTTTTTTTTCAATTATTTATATGGCCATGTTTGATTTGATGGATCCTCTTTTACCAGTCAATACAGGGGAAAATAAAGATAAAGCAATACCTACTATCTTGTTCCAACGACATTGATTCTTATTAATGCTCATTTATCTTGATGCTATTTCATTCAAATAACTCTGAGATTCCAGCATGCATTATAAATGATTTCATATGTCCACCTTTTTTTTTGGGTCATTAATTAGGCAGCTCTCATTAGTTTCGGAAAAAAATCTGAAAATGTTTTGATTGGTACCTCAAGAAAATGGATTTTATGATTCCATTTTTTTATACCAACTCATTTGGTTGACTGGTTTATCAGATTTGATACTGCTAAATACTGGGGGTGTTTGATCCCCCTCACTCCCCAACCCTAGAGAAAGAAAAAAAAATTACGTATGTGTGCATATACATACTTATTCGGGCAAGCATGTGGCTGTGGATTCATTGTCTTCCACTGTATTCCAATTCATCTTCAATTCTCTCAGAACTTAATAGAAATTAGCAATTGACTATCTAGTGTCTGGCCAGTTGAAAAAATGGGTTTATTGGTTTATTTAAATGATCTATCAGTTGTTAGTTATTCCAGGTATAAATCTTCTCTTTTTTTAAGGAATTTCGTCGTTGACTAAGCTTGACCATACGCCTGTGGTAGTGTCAGTGACCAGCTTACTGGTTAAAAGTTAAGGGGATTTTGCATAAATCCTTTTTGGCTGACACAAAAGATTGAGGAGGGAGTGGAGCTGATACAAACATGTGCTTTTGGGTAACTGTGGATACTGGTTGAACGAATAAGTTTTCATGATTACTTCCACATCACTTTAAACTTGTAGTCTCTTCTTTTTGGTTGTTTATATGGATCCAATTATTGAGTTAGTACTGGTTTGTGTTCTGGGATTGTTTGTTTTGTTATTTTGTGCTAATAATCTATAAGTAGCGCAGAAACATGCTAATGTTAACTGTGGGTTGCTGCAGGTGATTGTTTGTCAACAGTGTGGTGACAGAGGCTTTGAAGATGCCTTGATCTACTGTGAACAGTGCCAGAATTATGCTATTCATCTGTATAACTTGTTTCCTTTTTCTTTTGTTTGTCTTTTTTTTTTTTTCCCATGACAAAGAAGTGACACATTACTGTTATTTATATACCACATTATCCTGAAATAAATGCTTCATTTCCTGGTTATTGAACTTTGGAAAGCAAAGATGCATGCATGACTGTAATGATGCTGCAAGTTGACGTTGAATTAGTTCTTGAAATCATATTTAAAAGTACAAGAGCACACAAAATGGCCAATTTCAAATTCTATGAGATCTTAGCTGCCTGAATCCTCAATTTTAACTTTTTAAAATGATTTTGCATGGATTGGTGATCAACTGATGCCTCTTCTCTTTTATTTCTTTGCAGTTATTGCATTGATGTGCCAGCAGAAAATATTTTTGATGAAGATATTACTTGGCTTTGTGTGGATTGTGAACCAAAGATTGTAAAGCCTTCTACAATTGATAAATCAGTAAGATCAACACAAAATCGTCATAACAAGAAGTTGAAGAAAAGGAGGAGGAAAAAGAATATATTGACTTTACCTAAATCTGTGGCTAAAAAGGCCCAGATATGTGAAGGGGATAAAATGATTTTACAGATACGTGAAGGTAGCCCTAGTGAACATGAGGCTGAGGGCAGTAATAATTGTGACAGTGGTCAGAATGTTGGTAATCCGTGCAGAGAAGTTCTTGAATATCAGTTCAATTCCTTCCATGACGTCCTCAAGTTTGTAAAAACCTCTCAAATTATTACTAGTGACGCTTTACAAATCATGGAACACAATTCTTATGTTGCTGCACAGCCTATCATTGATCCAATCTGGAGGTAAAAGAAATTTCCTTTCCGCCTCTTTCAAATTTATGGTGGGCAGGGTATAAATCGTGTGCTAGTTTGTCTTATTGACAGGGGAAGTCTAAGCATATTCAACAAAGACTTCAACATTGTTAGTGGACTTGTAGCCCATCTCTCTAGCTTAGCCTGTCCTAAAGTGCGCGAGGAGGCAGAACTGTTGCCGTTGCTGATTTTTCCAGAATTGGTTCGTAGGACTGATGTGTGGCCAAAAGCTTTTGAGAAGTTGGGGCCTACTGACCGGAGTATCGCTCTTTACTTTTTTCCTGACAACGAAAGGTGATGCATTTAACTGTCCTACTTTTTTCCATCTACTTTTGCTGTTTGGATTTCTTAAAATTCGCTGTTTTTCTTAGTTATTATTTTTTTCTTTGGGTGCAGAGATGAGAAAGATTTTGACAGTCTCGTGGCTAGCATGATCCAGGATGATCTCGCTATGAAAGCCATTCTGGACAATGCTGAGCTTTTAGTTTTCACTTCGACTATACTGCCTGAGCAATATCAGAGTGAGTCTTGAAATCGCTATTTGTTTAAAGCTTTTCCAGTTTTTTTCTCCTTTCAGGTTAATAGCAGTGTTGACTATATTGATTTGCAGGGTTTCAGACAAAGATTTATTTATGGGGAGTATTTAGGGCAAAGAAATTTCCAGAATTAACAAATGGTAATGTTCCCGGTGGGGAGAAAGACGTTGGAAAGCCCTTAACCTTAACCTGTTATGGGCAGAGTCCAGTTAGTACGTTGAGCAACAATGTAGATATTAGTTGTGATCCTGAACCACTCAATTCCTATTGTCCTTAATCCATGTGAATTGAATTTTATTCTATTTTATTTTCAATCAAACCCTGTACAGTATGATGTTTACTGTAGTTTTGTTTTGATAATTGTAGGTATTTTTTTACCAGTAGATGCTGGGATTTGACTCTGCATGGGCAGTTTCAGTTCCGACAAATGAGAATTAATTTCTTTTACCCAAAAAAAAAAAAATTGTACCATTCACAAGATGAATTGGAGGAATTTGGCATAGCACATAGGAGGGGCTTTAGAAATAGTAAAGCTATCAAATCAGTTTTGTAATTTAAAAGAAGTTAAAAGCTTTTTGGTTGTGTTGTAAATGAGCTTTGGGTGCGTGTCTAAAGTACATTTCATATTGGGTTTTTTTTAAATAATTTGGACTATTATTTGAAATTTAAAAGAAGTTAAAAGTCTTTTTGTTGTGTTGTAAATGGGCTTTGGGTGTGTGTCTAAAGTCCATTTCATATATGGTTTTTTTTTAATAATTTGGACTCCTATATTGGATATAATAGTGAATCTCAATTTTTTCTACGACTTTGTGGTTGAGTAACTAATGATGTTAATGCAAATGGAAAGATAAGTCAATCCACTGTTTTAGTCCTTTTTCAGCATGTATATTATTATTTCAAATTAGTGTGAGAAACGTGCCAAAATTTACTGGTTTCATTTTCATACGCAACTTGGCAACTTGGCAAAGACCTTAACGATCAAGGGATCAAGGGGTGCTTTGTGATATGTCATAGCACACTGAGCCAAAAATAGAAATTTGATGAAAGTTTGCCGACTTTTCAACTTTTGTTTCTTATCCTAAGGTTGCTTCTTGATCATTTCCCATTTAAATTTCTTTGTTTAAGCCTAGCTAAAAACGTAGAGAAATTAATATAAAGAATTTTTTATGGAACGGTGATACCATGTTATCATGCTGATGTGATATGACTATCTATATTCTTAAAGAACGCCATATATTGTAAAAAGAGCTTCTAGCTCAAATTGTTAATATATATGTTACATATCCTAAGGTTGCTTTTTGATTAAACAGGAAGAAAAATTATTATAAAGAGACTTTTATGGGACGATCATACCATGTTATTATGCTTATGTGATATGAGTATCTACTTAAAGAACGACTTTTATCACAAAAAGAGCTTCTAGCTCAAGTGATTAATAGCAATTACTCATGAACTCGAGGTAGTACTCCTTTCCTTTATACGTTCAGAAGCCTCGCTCCTAGCCTAGGTTAGCTAAGTATGCTTTCTCTCTTTTGGGTTGTATTGATTGAGGTGAGCTTGCGGGATCAAGCTTCATGCCGCCGCCCTCTCTTTGTACCGTTGAGGTTCTCTAAAAAATTATAATTAAGGGCATTTTAATGTACTAGATTCTATTACTTTCATTATTTCCTGTAAATAAGTACATATCAGATTATCTTTTCTTTAATTATAATTATATAACTTACAACTTACACGTATCTTTATTATATCCGTGTATTAGGTTAAGAAAAGCTAATGTGCAACCTAGAATTCTATTGATCCAGCCATCCTGTGGAGGCTGCCAACCTAAATCCAACTTTTCTTTCAATAATTACTACTTTTTTAGTCTGTTTGATAGTTTTGTGGACTAATCTTTCCTTAATTAATTGCTCTTAACCACTCCAATTATAGCAATGCATATGATTTAATGATTATTATATTGAATTTTTTTTGACTTTGATGCACCAAATATGGATATGTCACCTCAAGCACTAGATTTTAACAGCAATAATTAACCCTTGTCTTCTTGAAGGATAAATAAGCGGGCAAGTTCCATAGTCAACTAGCAACCTCGATAGGAAAGTTCTTTTATCGCATCGTTCAAGTTAAAAATAAATAATCTGTAAATTAAGGAAAGTCTTGATTTCACACTAATATTATATTGGAGTTGGAGAGAGAGAGTCGCGGACCGGGGAGTTTACAAATTTGTGTAGGAGTTTGGAAGACTTGGTGTGAAAGTGAAGGTTCAACTTATAAGCTCGACTGCCAATTTAACGGTTTATGCTTGATCGTGGTAGATTTATGCAAACATATACGAAGATCCCGAGCCTCTATATTTAGACATTATACATTTATCTCATATATGAATGGCCATATGCATAAAATTCTGCATATATATATTAATTACCTTTTTACCACTTATATATTTATTTATTCATTTGGATAACTTGGGCATAGGCGGCTGTATGTATTTTTCCATGCATGCAATTTTTGTCTGAAAATCTATAATGTTAGTTTCTGTCTCACCTTAAAATAATACAAAGTGTTAGTTTCGTAATGAATAACTCTAGTTTCTGCCAGCCCGGGAGTTAGTATATATATATATATATATTAAAGAAGAAAAGAATTGAACAAAAAAAGAAAAACAGCCCAGGGTTTGCTAAGCTTGGTGAGGAAAGTAAAAGTTATCAAGCTGTTGTTTTGTGTTTCAACAATTACTTATTTTCTTTCGTCTAGTGCTAGGACTTTGAACATTCACATTCATGTATTCTGATGTTTATGTCAATCAATGGTAGTCCACCCCTCCACAAAATCTTGGTTCAATCCTATATTTGTTGAGAGTATATCTGACATTGAATATGGAAGTATATATAGTGTAATAAGCTTAAAAGTTTTTAGGCTTCTATACTCATTGTCAATTGATTTTCGTATAAGTAGAATTAACTCAATACGCATAAATGAGCTATTGACAATAAACATAGTTCTTTTAATTTCGTAGTTACTTCTTTTTCCAAGATATTCAAATAACTCATATGTGGTATACTATATTTTCCATATAAGTAAAAATCCCATGTCATGCTGCTTAATATGAAGTTGCTTAATTAGTGAACTCATTTATCAAATACTAAGAGAAAAGAGAGTTTTTCATAACTTCATACTATTTCTAGGATGATATGTTTCAACAACTATGCATGTGTGCATTTATATATATAGGAAGCTTCAAAATTAGGATGTTTACATTTGAGAGAAAAATAGTATTATATTGAAGAGAGAATGAGTAATTTGTACAAAAGTCAGGCTATGTTGGGGGTTAGGAGAGTGTCTCTACACAAATGAGCTCGGTTGTCGATCCAACTGGTTAGCATTACCTGCTCAACCACAAACGGGAGCGAAAACCTAATTGGTTACAGGTAAGAAAAATGTGAACATCCTAACTATTCCCCCCAATTAGATTATTATTGTTATCATTTTATTTTTATCTAAGAAGTTGTGTTTCTCTAGTCATTAGATGATAAAATAATTTTTAATTTCATTGATTTTTATATATATGAAAATAATCATTGAACAAGAACCTTAATGTGGATGGTTATGTTCATTTCTAGGTGAGAATAGTTTGAAATGCAAGGGATGTGAACAATAGTATAAATTAGTGCAAAGCACGTATAAACAAACTGAAAAGAGCAATGAGAAAGGTCAACTACATGTGTTGCAAATTACATGACAAAAGATGGTATCCAAAACAATAGCATGGGTATCATATATATGATATTTGAGAGCCAGCCACTCTCCATCCTACGGCCCACAATATTAAACTGACAATTAATCTAAGAACTTTCCCACCTGCCTCACCACCAGAACAAATTCAAAATTCCACTTTCATCCCTTTTGTATTATCTTCTTCACCAATGACTAAAACTCTATTTCTCTGAAAGAGAAAAAAAAAAAAAAAAAAAAAAAAAAAATCTCTAAGTAATTCCCCTGAAATTCCCATTCTTTCTATGAAGGAAAAGAATTTGAAAATAGAAAAACTAAAGAAGAAAAGAAAAACTATAAGTCGGGGAAATTGTTGAATAAGTCTATGGATGGAGTGCTAGGGGAAAAGAAGTTTGAAGGACTAGGCATGAAGCTACCTTCTATGAAGTTCCTGTTTCCGTAGAGCACTGGGCTCAAATCATGGAAGAAGCTATCCGACGGTGGAGAGAAGAAGTTCGAAGGAATCGGATTGAGCGATGAGGGCCCCGGTGACAAGATCCCCGGAAACAAACCCTTCTGCCTCGCACCACCATCATCACCGTCCATCTCCATCCCTTGAGCAACATCTTGAGCAGAACTTGTCTTCATCACTTGATCATCACGAGAATTATTGGTATTGTTATTGTCATAATTCGGAGGATTATTAGGATTATTTTGAGTAGGTGGGGAAGAAGATGAAGAAGAGTTTAAGCCCGTGAGGCGTTGGACAAGGTCCATGAAGTCACTAGGGTTTGTGTGGATGACCTTCGGGGACACGGTGTAGATTATGACCGGCTGACGTGGCTGCTGGTAGAGATGAGGCTGTTGGGAGGGTGGTTGTGAGGAGGGTTGGGGGACAATTGGAGGCTTCTTGATCTTGTGAGAGTCTTTATGAACCCTGAGAGGTGTAGGACGTGGGCCTTGAAGCTGAAGCTCTCTTCTCGGAGACTTGCCTGCAGAATAATCCATGCCGGTGAAGACGAAGGCGAAGACGAAGACGGACCGAAAAAGAAGAAAAAGGGTTGATCTGTTTTGGGGTTTTGGTGATGAAGTTGTGGGGAGATTAATTTATGTATCATGTTATATTAATATTGGAAACTGAAAGGGCAGGAGGACATAAGAGCCAGATGTGGTGACATGAAATATTTAAAGGAGAGAAAGAGAAGAAGAGAGAGAGAGAGAGAGCAAGTCAATGAAATGAAGGGGGATGAATTAAATAAAATAATCCAACAATAATGAAATTAGTAAAAATTGGCTACTAGCTATGAGGTTAGCTTGTGGAAGTGATATTTTAGTAGGACGGGAGGGATGCAAAGGCCGGTTTCGTGGTGGGATGGTGTTTGAATTGAAATTGTCGTAATGTGGGACTTGGAAGGGGTCGTTTCGTTTGTGTGCCTCGTCACTCTGAGAGGTAATGACGTACTATATACCCTTGTAACATAAGCTTTATACATTTGTTTTTGTCTTTTGTTTGTTTGTTTTTTTTTTTAGAGAGAGAGAGGTATTTAGGGCTCGTTTGCGACTGCTTCTCTAAAAAGCACTTCTACTTATAAGCTCTTCTACCAAAAGCGATTTTATTATAAAGACGTTGAAATTTTCATAAGAAATCGAAGTGCTTCTTGGAAAAGCACTTGGGAGTGCTTTATGAAGAAGCACATGGCAGGTGCTTCTCTAGAAAACGCTTCTATGACCCAAAAGCGCTTCTAAACTTTTATTCCAAATACTGTCATAAGCGATTTTGGTTGTCAGAAAGGCTTTTAATTGTTCCAAAAGAACTCCTAAACGGGCCCTTAATGGTATTAGATCAGTAACACTACATATACTGTGTTTGTGGTTAAGAACATTAACTTTCACCTGAAGTTGTTGGTTCAGTCTCCTTTCATATCAAAAAGAAAAAAATTTACTATCATGAGACACATGTGACATTACATGAAACAATCACTACAAAAAAAAAGTGGCAACAGTCACTGTTATTTGGTGATATTTGTCTTTGTTTTTCTTTGGTAGTGAATTACTATGATATATGTGAATCATGATAAGTTGTGTGAAAAAAAAAAATATGTAATTTAGTAATTTTTTATATATAACAAAGTATATTGTATCGTGCATCCTTAAAATGATTCAAATCAATGACTTATCAATCGTAATTAATATGTAATTAAAAAGAATAAACATGCTAGCACTACTACGTTTTTCTATTTGCGCGACGATAGTTTGTGCGACGAAGGACAAATCGTCGCATAAAAGATGCGCGACGGACAATCATATGCGTAGCGCAAACTAGAGCGACGAATAAATTTCGTCGCGCAAAATAACTTCGCACGACAGCAAAAACGACCGTCGCGTAAAACAAGGGGAAAAAACCGCGAACAAATATTCTGGCGCCTAACTTGCGCGACGACTAAACTCGTCGCAAATGACATCTTTGCGCGACAAAACACCTATCCGTCGCGCAAGGTACGATATACAAAACCATTAATCCTAAGCCTTAATTTTAATTTTGCCATCTAAATCATATGTTTTTCATTGATTTTAGTGAAGATCATCATTCATACCCTTTTATGGTAGAGGAGAATCTTTTTGTTTGGTTATCAACCTCCATACGAATAAATTTCAGGGTTATCAATTTCCGTACGAATCTTTTTGTAGGGTTATCAACCTCCATATGTTTTGAAACTAAAAAGCGTTCATTCAACTCTACAAAACTAATTTCAACGATCCAACCGTTAAACGTGTTTGTATATACTGTGAGATCGTATACCCCAAAAATCGCAAGTAACAAATATTCAGAGATCTAGAAATGGGACAAAATATTCAACGGTTATAAATGAAAACGTTTGCGCGACGAAGATATATTCGTCGCCCTATGATGTTTAGCGCGACCAAAAAATCAATACGTCGCGCACAATAAATAGCGGGAAAACAAACAGTGTTCCAGGTGTTTCGCGCCACAACTTTGCGCGACGAAACAGTAAATTAGTCGCGCAAGGTGGTTATCGTGGCTGCGTGCGTGTCAAACTAGGCTTTTGGGCGATGGAAATTCTCTATTGCGCGACTAACATCATGTGCGACGAAACGATTGTTTCGTCGCGCAAAGGTGTGATGTCGGCACGTCTTTGCGCGCCACCCAAGTCGATTTTGCACGACGGAATTTGTTTGGTGCGACGAAAAAATGTGTTCGTCACGCAAAGATGTGATGTCGGCATGACTTTGCGCGTCTTGAAGTGGAATTTGCGTGACTAATTTATTTGCGCGACGAATTAAGCCTTCGTCGCGCAAAGCCGTCTTCTTTAACAGATTCATTTCAGCCATTGCAGAGGCAAACTGAAAAATCAGTTTTGCCTCTGCTTCTGCCCCTCTCTCTCTCCGTTCTCTCCATTTTCTCAGCTGCAAATCAGTTCAGGACATATTGAAGAAGGTATTTTATTTGTTTTGTATTTATTTAAAATATCAATTTAATTTCTTTATATATTGTTTTTGTGAAATTATATTTGTATTCTGTTGTTAAATTATGCACGGCAATGTACGAAGTTAATTGAAATTAACTTCATACATTTTTTATTGTAAAGCTTAGTTCCCGTTCGAGGTTAGTTGGACCGCGCATGGGTGGGTAAACCATGACTACGGTCCAATTAATTCTTGAATTGTCCCATATTTTGGATAGTTTGGAAATGAATAGTCGTGTCACGTAGTTTACAGCTACAGGATTAGGTTTCGATTGTGGAGATTTCGGTGTCATCTCGGTACGTTCTTCGGGTGGTACGTAGGTATTTGATATCTACGGTACACCTCAAGACTATGCATTTCCGAATGGGATAAGGCCCTTATCGGAGGCATAAGGTGACGTTATGATTTTCTAAGAATACAACATAATTATTGTATTGTGATTGTGGTTCCAGGAATTATGAGCAGAAGGTGGATACAAAACCCGAACAGGTGCGCAGACGAATACTTAGATGGAATCAAGGAATTTATTCACTTTGCACGGTCACACAACCCGGGTGCAACTAGAATCAGATGTCCTTGTAGGAGGTGTAACAACATGTTGTGGGATACAATTGAAAATGTTCAATTTCATTTAGTAAGGAATGGAATGATTGAGACATACAGCAGGTGGAACCATCACGGGGAACAATTAGACATTGGTTCGTCTTCAAGGGCCAC